GAATGGCTTTGCTTCCACTTGGATATGTTGTCTTCTATTACATTTGTCTTTTCCTTGACATTCTTGATGCATATGCCGCATGGAGTTATGGATCCAGCTAAGTGATTTAGTTTTGTTATCTATTGGTGAAAAAATAAAATAAAATTTTTGGCACCTTAACCAATTGACAATTACTTTGCTTATCTTATGGAGGTAATGTAGGCTATCTGTTTACTTTTATTTTATTTATGAATAGAAGGTATTGCTGGTTTGGCTGTTACATATGGACTTAATATGAACATGTTTGCAAGCCTGGGTGATATGGAACCTTTGCAACTTGGAAAACAACAATATATCAATGGAGAGAACACTTCAGTATAGTAGCATTCCTAGTGAGCCTCCTCTTGTGATAAAAGAAAACCGACCCAATCCTTCTTGGCTATCTCATGGAGAAGTTGACACTTGTGATTTGCATGTATTCTGAGTTAGTTATAAATTTGACTCCAAATATATGTCTCAATCATATGGAGCATGTTAAGATTAAAATTTCTCTCAATCTCTAGTCAACTAATTTATAAAACTTGTCAAGCTACGAGTCTTTGATCAAGTGTTAGAATTTATCTTTGAAAATAAATGTTATAGCTAGTAAAATTATATTTTGGTTTATGTATTTAACATTATGTTTGTACTGCTATAAAAAAAAATATTCATGTGTATGATAAAGGTTCGTTATGCTCCACATCTACCACTTGTGTTGTGCGGCATAACATGCAAATTCCCTAGGGTGCTAAAAACTGGCATTGTTGGGAGAACAAGAAGTGGCAAAACAACTCTCATACAAACACTTTTTCAAATCATTGAGCCAATTGCTGGGCAAATTGTGATTGATGGCATCAATATTTCATCCACTAGACTTCATGATTTGAGGTTTAGAGTTAGCATATTCCTCAAGATCCAATCATGTTTGAAGGCACAGTGAGAAGTAACTTAGACCCATTGGAGGAGTACAATGATGAAAAAAATTTGGGGGGTAAGTTTGTTATAGTTGCAAATAAGCACATTCATATATACTCAACATTAGGTTGTTTCCCAAAATTAAACTTGTGTCTTTTTCTTGATATGGCTTTACATTCATTCATTGACATGTTTTTAGGCTCTAGATAAGTGCTGACTTGGAGACGAAGTTCGAAAGAAAGAAGGAAAGCTAGACTCTATATGTTTGTCTTCCTTGCTCCCTACCTTACTGAACATAAAGTGATACTCTCTCTAGTACTTTTTATAAGATCCATCTCGTACATTCTCTTTCATATTGTTTCCCAGTATTTTTTTCCTCACTTACCCTCTTATAAATAGGGGCATATTTTGAGGGGAAAAAAGTACATTCTTTATATGTTTGTTGCTTTTTGACTAATGTTAACAGATTTCTTACCACACAACTTGGTTATTTGGATCTTATAAAATAGACTGAATGTATTGGTGTATACACTACTCCTGATCCTAGAAATGGAAACTGATTGCTATTGTGAAAATTGTTGTAGTTAGTGAAAATGCTGAGAACTGGAGCATGGGTCAGAGGCAGTTAGTATGCCTCGGTAGAGTGTTGCTTAAGAGAAGTAAGGTACTGCCATCGATAATTTGATCCAGCGAACTCTTTGGCAACACTTCTCTAACTGTACAGTTATCACCATTGCACATAGAGTAACTTCTGTTTTTGACAGTGATATGGTTTTGCTTCTCAATCAAGGTTAGTTATTGCTTGTTATTCTCCTTAGAATATATTTTGTTTTTGTTCTTTGATATGCTTTATTTTGCTTTTTCATATGATTTCCCATGAATCTTGATGCAGGACTAATTGAGGAGTTTCACTCTCCAACAAGATTGCTTGAGGACAAATCATCTTCTTTTGCTAAGCTTGTTGTAGAGTATGTTATGAGATCCAAATCCACTATCAGTAAAGGAACTCATTACCAATTTTGCTTACTGAAATAAAAATAACACAGTTTCTAAATGATGACAAAATGTGGGGAAATCTATCAATTAAAAATCACATTAGTGAATTGATAACCAAGTCCAATAATGTTAATCCCTCTTGTTGTTTTGAGTTGAAGATAGTTGTGTTTTTATATGTGAGAATATATGTGTGGAAAGTTGAAACCTGTGCTTGTGAATGGAAGAGACAACATTGTAAAACCATAACAGGAGGATAGTTATCAATGCCACGTTGATTTGTTTGGACTTTATTGTGGCGGGCCGTTGCTTGTTCTTGATAAATAATACTACCTCTGGTTCTAATTATAAGACCTCGTTTATAGATCTCATTTGTAATCTATAAATGAGGTCTTATAATTAGGACAGAAGTAGTATGTCATTTCTTATGAATAAGATCAAGAGAACCTTCCCAAATTCTCTTGTAAAAAGAACTCATAGGAGTATCAATTATAATTGATATCTAATTTTTCATTTTTAAAATCACTTTTAAAAGCAAAAAGAAAAAAATAATAAAAACAAGAATTTTCATCATCTTCTTCGATTGGTATATAATAAAATTTTTTACAGCAAAACAAAACTATATATCATACTACAATTTCTATTGTTTATCATCCCTTGTATGCTTAAATTCAAATGCATTGGAAGTGATTAATGCTAGTGATGGCAGTTATTAATGAATTGTGAATTTTGGTGTGGAAAAAGTAAGAAAGAAAAGGAATTGTGACTTTATATATTAGACATTTAGCCATCCCCAAAAAATCAATTGATCAATTTTAAAATTAATTATTTTTTTAATTTTAACTATCTATATTAAATAATGAATAAAATATTTTTTAGATGGGAATTTAACAATAATCAAAACTTAAAAATTAATATCAACGTATAAATCTTTCAAATTAAAGTGAATTAGTCTAGATAATTCAATTAAACAATCAACTTCTTTTTTATAACCGAAACAACCCACTTTTTTTAGAAGGAAAAAATCTCTTGCAATCCGTTTTCAAGATTCAGAATTAAAATTAGTACTCATCTTCTCTTGTTCTAAAAGTAAAATCCATTTTGTAATATAATTTTGCACTAAAAATGAGTAATCAGAGAGCATATTAATTAACTTGGTAAGATTATTTACCGACATAATTAAGATTTCAAAATTTCTTTAGGACCAATTCAAGCATCAACTAACCAAAATAAAAATCTCATAATTAAGGGTTTGATTGGAATGATGGTACAATTATTCAAAAGTAGGTCTTTAATCTTGATTTACAGAATGTGCATGAAAAGAATTTTATTTTAAATTGCGTGAATAGATACTTTTGGGATTTTAATATGATTCCAAGCAAGCACTAATAAGACATTAAATTTTAGGTCAAACAAATTTGTTTGGTTCATTTCCTCAATATATTCAAAACTTAAAGATGCTTCTAGAAAAGTCTATCTTTTTTCTTTGAGGAAAGAGTGATTTCTGGCAAAACGCAATAACATATTAATTACATAGTGATCGACTTATTGAAGCAAAGTCAAAATTTTATTGTTCCTTATATATATTTTTTTTGCTTGGAAAACATTAATCTCATTATTTAAATTAAAAAAATAAAAAAGATATGCAGCTAAAGAGATAAACAAGAGAATTGAGAGGGGAAAAATGTAAACAAAAGAATTTAATATTTATTTTTGAACCAAGATTAAACTGAGAATTGAGTGAATGAAATAACTTTAAGAAATGCCATTTGTAAATACCATGGTTTTGTATTTGGATTATAAACCTTCCCCTCTAATTTTAAAATTTGACTTCCTCCCTCTTTCTTACAGTTAGTTGTTAAATCATACAGTTGATATTTTATTTTGACTAAGATGCCCCACTCAACAAATTACTATTACTTAAGAATTATTTAAACACTTCATTTGCCTAAAAATAATTTTAATATATATTTACAAGTTTTTGGTGCTATTATTGAATTGATTTATTTTAATTATATTTAAATGCCAAGTATTATAACTCTAAAGTTTTATTACTCCAATTATTTTTAGGTTTTAACCTCATCAATTTATTAATCTCTTGAATTAATTAAGTTATATATTATTTTACATGCATGAATCATGATTGTAGAATGAAACAGTTGTGGTCTTTCTTTATAACATCTTTTACTATGAAATTTTCACCAACGTAAATTAGGAATTTAGTATGGTGTTGGACAAATTAACAGAGAAAATTATTGGGAGAATGAGAATCCCACAAAAAAATAACTTTAAAATTAAATTACTACTCTTACTAGATCTCAAATAAAAAATTATTACAAAAATATGTTATTTGTAAGTCTAGTGTTGTTAAAAGCCTATTAAAGTGTTCTTACTAAACCTAAATTGGGATTCAGTAATTCCAATTTTCTTTTTGTGGGATTGGCCCAAAATTATTCTAATATAAATTTTAACTAATTAAATAATATATTCTTACAATTTTATCTACCTGCAGTATTAAATTAATAGTTAGGACTATTTTTCTAAAAAAAATTGAGAGATCTGTATAATTAAAACAAAACATTGGAGAAGGATGATTAAAGTATTTTATTCTGATATATATTATTCATGTAAGATTTTAAAAAAAAATTTGTGCCACTTGCAACCTGCAAAAGAGGTCTGTACCAGTATATCTACATATGAGTTTTAAATTCTTGGCTCTGAATTAAAGACATTATGCTTTTTCTCCCACTAATAAAAGTCAAATATATGAATGATTATGACCTAACACTTCATCATTCTTCCACTTTTTTGAATTAATATGTCACCATCCTATAATAATTAGTGCCTTCTTACCGTCCTTAACAAACAACATAACATTCTTCCATTTTTCTTCATAATTAAATCCCCTCAAAGATACATATCCAGCAGACAAATTTTAAAACGTGTTTCATTCTAACTCTTTAATTTCTTCCTTCTCGACCATCTTCAGTGCGAAAATCTTCCACTTATAATTCCACAATTTTCAATCAAATATTTATTAATGTAATCAAATATCCCTTGATTGAAGCCCCTTTCTCTTATATACGTATTACAGCATTCATATTAGAAATCAAAAATGATATTTTCCTTTTACAAACCTTTGACTGATTTCCTAACTTTCCCACCAGATCCCATGAAAATATTTGCTCTTCAATTATATATACACACACAAACATCATCGATCGAGCTATTATCAAACAGAATTGGAACATTTCATTTTTTTTTTCAATTGAGAATCATTGGAGAAATATTCGTCATGATGTTTTCTCATCATCATCATCACTTTCTTGCACGCTTCTTTCTGATGTGTCTGGGCTTATTGGGATCAGAATTAGCAAATGCACAGTATTATCAGAAAATTGGAGGGAAACTTGTCGCTTACTGGAAGATCACTGTCGACCCCGCCGGTGCCGGCAACTTCACCAACATCCAAGAAGCCATAAACTCAGTCCCTTCCAACAACAACAACTGGGTTTCCATCAATATAAAGGCAGGCATCTATAGGTAATATATATATATATATATATATATTTATATAGTTTCTGTAGATGTATCAGATGAGATCACCTAGTGTTTTGAACTTGCATTCTTCTGTCTCTTAGAGATGCAAGATTCTTGTTCCACAAACAAAAAACTCAGACTGATACTAATTAAATTGAATATATATGTACTTCTCAAATCTTTCTCTGAATATATATATATATGATTTTTGTGAATAATGTGGGGTTTGTTTGTTAGGGAAAAAGTGAGGATTCCTGATGACAAGCCGTATATAGTATTGAAAGGCGCAGGGAAGAGGAGAACTATTGTTGTTTGGGATGATCATGAAACAGTGGCACAGAGTCCTACCTTCACCTTGCTGGCTGATAATGTTGTCGTCAAATGTTTGAGCTTTCGGGTAAGCGCAATTTTTTTAACTTTTTATTTTTATTTTGTAAACAAAGTCTCTTTCTGTTTAATTTATATATGCACATCCTTTAATTTTCATCATTTTTTAGTTTAAAAAATTTATATATTTAGAGTTTAGAGCATCCATGTGTCACTCTTTCTCTTTTTTCCCCCCTTTCTATTTTCTTCTTTTTTTTTAAAAGAAAAAACAAGATTTTAAGCTAGGCAATGGAATGGGTCCAACAATAATAACCCATTTTTTTTATTTTATAAAATTTAAACACACATTAAACCCATTTAATTAAAAAATATAAGTTTCTCTCACTTTCTCTGTTTCTTTTGCAGAAAAAAAAAATATTTAAGGCTTCTCTGCACTATTAGTAACCCATTTTCATTTTGCTACTAATTCCAAGGGGAAAAAATTTTTAATTTATCTGTTATAAAATTGCCAAGAAATATTGAAAAAATATATAAACTTTTCTAAATCATCTCAATTTCTTTTTGTAATCAGCCATGTCAATTTTGGTGGGAGTCAATAATATAAATGCGCTAAACGGCCATTAAAATGGTAAATTCTATTTGAATTAATGCGTAAGATCTGATTGGATACTAATAATTAATTCCAAATGTTAGGCATCTATATACAATTAAAACTAATAGTGGGCAGAAGCCCAAAGAAAATCATTTGGACAATCTCTCCGAGGTTTAAGCATATGGTTCATTATGGTTCTATTGTTTTTTTTCTCCCCTCAAGAAAATGTTTGGTCTTGTTTGGTTAATTTGTGACTTTCTGACTGAAATTTTGAGTTCTGTTCATTCATCAAGCCTAACTTCAGTGCTTTTCTGTCAACTCAATTTGTCAGAAAATATTTTGTTTTGAACCAAAAAAGTTGTTTGAAATCAAAATATAATAATGACTCGTTTTGCCGATTTGGTCCATGTGGGATCTCACCATTTTAGGGTCTTTCCCTTTGACCTTTGACCCCTCTCTGTCTCTCCGAATGCCAACATTTAAAGCGTACTTCCTTCAATCCGATAAATAAATCATCTTTTTGAAAGTATCATTAGTCATTTTTATTTTTATAAGACATTTGATGTGTGATTTTAAAGAGCATTAAATATTTTTTTAATATATTCTGATATTTAATAAGGATAACGAAAGAGTAGAAATTGAAATGATGTCAAAAAAGAGTGTTGAAATGACTTCTAATAAAAATTAGAAGAAGTATTTATACACAAGAAGTTATTGGAAGATGCACTGTACACCATAACAAAAACCTGTCTAGTTTAAATATATCAAAATGTTGAGTCATTTTAAAATTAAATTACTTGGTAGACTTTCCTTTTATAAGTATAATATCCTGATGACAAATTTTTCCTCCTTATGCTGAAACAGAATTCATACAATAATCCAATTAACGGCAAACCGAGGAAACCGGCGGTGGCGGCAATGGTAGCTGGCGACAAGGCTTTCTTCCTCCGAGTAGGTTTCTATGGTTTACAAGACACATTGTGGGATGATCAAGGACGACATTACTACAAACTTTGCACCATTCAAGGTGCCGTTGATTTTATTTTTGGTGCAGGCCAATCTATATTTGAGGTAAATTTCTTCCACTTTAATTTGTTCTTCCGTATAATTTTCCCTCAAGAAAATAATTTCAAAAAATTGTTTAACATACTGTCTTTGTAAACAGGAAGCAAAAACAAATTATAGAGACTTCCGCTAAAAATATATAATAAGTTTCCATATGAACCTTTGTTGAGTTAATTCGTTAAATTATATAAACCTCTTTTTATTTTTATAATAGACTTTAGTGTAAGTTTTGGAAATAAACGTGTTTTTTGTAATTTAATTAAAAATCATAGGACATTTATATTAATCTTGAAATAAAAGGGAAAAATCTATAATTTAAATAAAAATCAATTAGAAAAATAAATATGTCTGAATGGGGTTCTTATAATTTATTTTATTTGAATCAAATTCTTATAGCTTTAGCAGTACTTGTAGGCATTCATCCTTGAGCCAAAAATCATTTTAACATTGTTAATTTTAATTTATAGAATTTGATGGATTTTATGGAATTCCCATCATTTCATATTTAATATTGTTTTAACACTGATACCTTTCAATAAAAAAATTTCATAAACTCTATAAATTAAAATAAACAAATCAAACAAAATAATGTATAAAAACCTGATTCAAAATAATGTTAAATTATAAGGACACGTGGATTATTATTTTCCTATTTATTTTAGCAGAAATTTTTTTATATATTTAAAATAAATATAAAATCGATCTGATTTCAATGTTTAATATTGTGTAGAGATGTTCAATATCAGTGATAGCTGGAGCCTTAGATGGCCTTCCAGGGTTTATAACAGCGCAAGGAAGAACAAATCCAAATGATGCAAATGGGTTTGTGTTTAAACATTGTCATGTGTTTGGGAATGGCACAACATATTTGGGAAGGCCTTGGAGAAGTTATTCAAGAGTCCTCTTCTACAAAACCAATATGTCTCAAGTTGTGGAACCTAAGGGTTGGCAGCCGTGGAATTTTGCTACTAATGTGTAAGTTATCAATCTTACAGTATGCGTTTTTTTCGTCAAAAAAAAGAAAGAAAAGAGAAAACCATTTTATTGGTACGTATATTTTAATTTCACTCAATTTTTAATTTAGTATCTATTTCTTTTTTTCATTAAATCATTTAACATTGCTTTTTAGTATTGTTAGCTTTTATAACTTTGCTTTGTTAGTACCATTAGCCCCTATACAGGAGCTAATTGTACTAGTAGAGCTAAATTGGAAGATTTAATCGAGAGATAAAAATGCATATGTACCAAATTGAAAATTATACAAAAGTATAGGTATCTACAAAATGTTTTTTAAAAAAAAGTAAAAAAAAAGGTAAAATGCATGAGTTATCCGTTGAAGTTTAGAGTGTATTATTGAGATTTTTTTGAATTTTGTTGAAAAATATTTAAAAAAAAATCAATATTTTACCTCCCTTAATATGAAAATTTATCTTTAATTTTTTCTAACAATTATGCAAACCTTCATTTTTATTTATGAAATGGGTTAATACTATTTTTAGTCCTTGAAATTTAACTTTATTTTAGTTTTGGTTCTTGAAATAAGTTTCAAGGGCAAAAAATGTTTAGACAGGTCAAAATAAATTCAAATTTTATTGATTTCAAATTTTAGAGATTAAAACTAAAAGAAGATCAAATTTCAGGAATCAAAGATTTTATTAAACTTTAATAAATTATACAGATACATTTTCCTAAAAGAAAGGATAAAATACACTTGCCTCTTTTCTTCTTAATTAATATTCAAATGAAAGGGACAACTATGTAGTTTTCAAAAAAAAATTCATGGAGTAATGCTTTATGTATTGCCATGAAAATCATAATAAAAAAGTTGGTGTTTTGATGATTTTGAATTAAAATTTGCAGGAATCGGGTAACATTTGCAGAGTATGATTGCTTTGGGCCTGGGTCCAACACATCCCAAAGAGTGAGCTGGTCCAAGAACAAGCTTGATTCACTATATGTCGATCAAATGGCTAATATGAGTTTTATTGATTCTGAAGGATGGCTTCAGAATCAACTTTTCTAATTTTGATTTCACTTGTAATTACTAATTAATTAGGACTTTTTCCATGTGCTAGTAGCATTTCATAGATTGGTTGGTTATCATGACTTCCTGTACATTTTTTTTTTGTTTTTAATTAGACTTGATTGAATTTAGTACATTGGATGAACTGAGAGAAATAAGCTGTGCATTATTTACAGCTTATAATTACTATGATTTATTATTAGATATTTTATATTATATTTTAATTTTAATTGATCTCCACATCTTCATTCGATCTTCAAATTTCAAAGTCAAATTAAAACCATTGTCATAAAAATGAATTAAAATTGATTTGTTTCCCCGTGCTAACTAATAAATATGACTTATACACAGCAAAAAAAAAATTGTTATCACTTATAAGAATTCTACAGGAACAATTAAAAAAACATATCACAAAAACTAATCAGTAAAATCGATTACAACAAGAGGTACTAAAATTGTTAAAGTGAAAAATTCCTCCATACAAAAGTAAATAAAAAAAAAAACAATGAATCCTCCAGGCTAATGAAAATTATAATTAAACTAAGAGTACAAATTTTGCCAAAAGAAAATGAGAGTACAAAAAAAAAAGTCTAGAGCCCAAAAAAAAAAAAGTTTAACAACGGTTACACGATCATAATAACAAGCTTACAAGTTACAACAAAGAATGAACACGATAAAGAAAACCCCAAACTAAATAACTCACACTTGGGAATACGGGCCGGCCATACAAAGTTGCGAGCTAGTCTTGTAGGGCCAGAACTTTAGAAATATCTCATTTTACTAGGGCCGGCTTTTAGCTGATAGGCTCAAGACTGGCAGGTGGGTTTTTGGCTCATTTAAGAAAAAAAAAGTACAATTTTTTTATATTTCCCACATGTTTTATAAAAAAAATAAAAATAAAAATAAAGCAATGAAATTACTAATAAACGGTATAAATATGAATAAAATTAAGTCACAAACACAAAACATCACCATATAAACATTAATTAATATTTTAAAACATCTAAAACATTCATCAACAAAAGAATAACATCCAAAAGTTTCATCAACAATGCAAATATGAAATAGACAAGCACTATCATCAATTTTTTGAAACTTCATCACCACTATCATCATTTGCTCTTCTCCATGAATATGCTCTTTCTTAGTTTCAAAAATATCAAGTTTTCCTTCTTCATAAAAAATTTCACTTTTAAATTTTGCAATATTTACTTTAGTTTGGGATGCATTATTGTTGAAACTCATAAAATTTTAATTCAAATTATATAATCACAAGTTATATAAATATAAAAATACTGTCTTATGAAATATATAGTTTAAAATTATCAACACATAAAATAAATCAAATTATTATTAAAGTCCAAATTAACCCCTTTTTTTAAAATTTAATTGAATAAGTTATTGTCTAAAAACCAAATAAATCAAACCATTTTATGAAATTTAGTTTCAAAATGATAATAATAACTAAAATTTTTAAATATCATTAACAACATAAAAAAATTAATAATATTAGCATTATATAAAAATTTTTGAAGAAAAAATAAAACCATAAAAAGCCCAAGATAGGCTGGCCCGTTTAAGCTCTCGGCTTTACAGATCCTGCCCTTTTAAGCCATTTTTTCATTTAAAGATGAAAATTTCAAACTCGACCCTTATAATTTTGAAGCGTAAATAGACTGGGCCTTTTTTTCTGACTCTACACGCTAGGTTATGTATTGATAATCCAACCACAGCTTCATTCAACGGTTAAAGAATCAAAAACTGAATATTTAGCAAGAGTGACATGTGAACATGTGAACATTTTTCTTCCAAGTAGTTGCACTTTTCTCTTGAATATACTAAGACCGCGGTCTCAAACCTTAATTTGACATGTTTCTCTTGAATATACCAAGACCTCGGTCTCAAACCTTAATTTGACATGTTTCTCTTGAATATACCAAGACCTCGGTCTCAAACCTTAATTTGACATGTCTCTATTTTAGTTAGTGAGATATAAATGGGTTCCAAATATTTAGGCTTTCTCCGTGTAAGAAGAGAACACACAATCAACTTATCCCATCCTCACCACCATGCACATGGAGGTGTGGCTCCCAACCAGATAGCTAAAGAACCTCCAAAATGATAATCTTAAGCAATTAAGAAATTTAGTTTTGTGGGCTTTTAACGCAGAGATAAAAAAATCGTCAAATAACTTAGACTTGAATATCTAAAGAAAAAAATATTTTGAAGAATCATCCTTCAAAATGCTTGATACTGTACTTAGAGGGAGGGGAAAAAACAAACCTTTGCTGTATTCTAGAACTTCTAAAAAATTACTACTTGGGTTCTTAATATAAGCCATTTGTAACAGATTCTCACATACTAAAAAATGTATTAAATTAAAAAGATTTTGTAATATAATCCTTATAGTTCTCTCTATCCATATTTACAAATCATTTTTATATCTTTTCTTTTAAAAAAATCATTTTTATATCTTCATCTTTTTTCTCTCCTGAGAATTAAATAAGGCTATAAAAGTAGAAAATAAGTTACTTTTAGAACTAAAACTTCTTTCCTACAGGTGACTTATATTATATTTCTAAAAGATAATTGGATGCTCTATTAAATGTAAGCTGTATTACAAAAGTTGCAGAGCTGAAAGGGAGATAATTGGGCAGTTGAGATAGATGGTCGACCCTGGAGACGCACATAAGCAATTTGCAGAAACAAATTTTGCAAATTCCAAAACCAGCAAGGCTCGTGCTTCCCTTAAATTCTCTCTTCTTTCCACCTAACCCTCTGATCTCTAAATTAATTTTGAAGCATTCAACTTCTGCCCGTCTTCGGAATTATAAGACAGCTCGTTAAGTTACCTAGTCAGCTTCATCGCCATTATTCACTACAAGCTTTTATTACTCTCAACTGTCCACCGCATGAACCTTCTTCTATAAGAGAATACTTTGCCATGCAACACAACACAACACGACTCAGTTTTCTCCGTTGATATCTGAGAGAGAGAGATGGCGAAATTTGCTGCTGTGATGGTCCTGTTTGTACTGGTTCTGGTGCATGCAAGTGGTCGTGAAGTGCCTAGTGATTATGATGGAGAAGATGAAGAAACTGTAATGCATGAGACTGTTTCAGCTGTGACAAGTGGAATTAATGGTGTTGGGGATGAGAAGAACTTCGTTTATGGTGTTGGGGTTGGTGGGTTTGCAGGCATGGGTGGCTATGTTGGGGCCGGTGGAGCTGGAATCGGCGGTGTCGCTGGAATAGGTGGCTTTAAAGGCATCGCTGGCGGCCTTGGCCACAGGGTCGGTGGCTTTGGTGGAGTTGGCGGCCTTGGCGGCATAGGTGGCGCCGGTGATGTTGGAGGACTAGGTGGTGCTGGCGGTACTGGCGGCATTGGCGGGCTTGGTGGTGCTGGTGGTGGCACTGGTGCAGGCGGCATTGGAGGGCTTGGTGGTGGTGCTGGCGGCGGTTCTGGTGCCGGCAGCATTGGTGGTGTTGGTGGTGCTGGCGGCCTTGGTGGTGCAAGTGGCGGCTCTGTTCGCCCTCTCAATCCTTAGCTTGTTCCCATGTTGTTCTACTACTAATTGCCCGTTGATTGATTTTGCTAGTAGTAAAGTATTTTCTGAGTTTAGTGAAGTTCTAGGTTTGTCTGGCTTAAGATTATGTAGGATTATAGTCCAAGCTTTGGTATTATGGGATATTAAGAATTAGTTAAACAAATTACTCATGAGTAGATATATATGTCATGAATGATGCATATTGATCTATTCATGATTAATTTAATTACTTATTTTTAAATCCCCTATACATGTTGAATCAACGGGCAAGTAGGGAGGTATGATATTGTTGCATGTTGTAATCCGTAGTAGTAAGAGAAAAATCTATGCCTCGAAGCGATTATATTGCTGGTGTGTCTCAAATTCATAGTTATACGTCCTGTGCTAAATATAAGATTTATAAATCTTATATTTAGGACAGGAGGTAGTAACTTATAAAAAATAATACTCCTTTGGTTCTTAATGTAGAACCTAATTGTTGAGTTGATTTTGATCCTAAATGTAAGACATATTTACCATATTTACTAATTTTTTTTAAATTACCTCTATTGATATTCTCTCAACTATAATCAAATAGGAGAGGGAGGAAGGATATTAAGAAAGATAATTCTGGTGTTTTAAAAAAAAAGTCATATTCGTCCTTAATGTAAGAACTAATTGAGGAGTTGATGTTAGTCTTATGTGTAAGACCTATTTTGCGTGTTTATCAATTTTTTTCTTCAAATTAAGCCTATTGATATTCCCCTAACAATAATCAAATAGAAAAGGGAAAGAGGTAACTAAGGAAGATACTTAGGGTGTTTTAAAAAAAAATCATATTAACTAATTTAACCAACATCCTTAATCTACTCAAATTAGTTAATTAGGTCATAGATTAAGGACTGGATGTTTATTTCTTATAATTAAGTAACTTATCTAATTTTTTTAATCTAATCAAATTAATTAAATGTTACATTGAGGATTAGAAGAGTAGCAAACATTCTCCCATTAGATAGAGTGGACTATAAGGATCGGATAACAGCGAGAACCAGAATATCTTGATAAATTATTACCTGAGAGATTTTCTTTGTTTTAATATAACTTTGTTGTGCATTCTCTTTGATCTTGCCTACATACTTTCTTTGTACATGTTTAAATCATCTCAAACAATTTTATATCATTTTTTATCTGCAGGCAACACGCCAGTTCTTCCTCATACATTTTTTTTTATCAATTACTTTTAGGAAAAGGGTTGGGCTCACCCACTATCCAAGGGTAGGGCACTTAACGCTTGATCCACTAGGACCTATCCCTATGAGTACGGGAATATAACAAACAAGTCTTTTTTTTTTTGCCCCAATAGATAGGAATCTCCCAGCGTCACTATAATGTGATGATGCCTCCCCTAACGCCGCGACTGGAGCGACAACAAAGTAGCACTCTCCAAGATCGAACCCCCTCCTTTCAGTGAGAGAGTCCGACCCCTTCGCCAGCTAAACCCATAGACGAGGGGTTCCTCATACATATTTATTAAGAATCATATCCATCCATTATCATTCAGCAACGTTATCTTTCATTATTTTTAATTATATTACACATTTAAAAGGATGGTTTCCATTTACATTTATATGATATTTTTATTTTTATGAGAACTATATGATATTTCGATATCGCTGGCTAACTCAAATTTAGTCTTTTTTATAGGTATGAAAGGTCTAAATAGAAATTTTTTTTCGCTACTATAAAAATGAATTTTTAGACTGGTTAAAAGTGACTTTGTAGATTGTACATCGAACTGGTTTAGGAAAAAGACAGTTTTTTTTAATAAAAAGATCAATTATATTAAAATGAAAATATTATACACCTAAAGTCACTGATTCATAATTCGGGGAGCGGGAAGGCAATAAAACATTAGTAATAAACAAGGAATGACTATAAAAGGCTTCGAGCAGTGAATGAAAATCCTTGTGCAAGGTTCCACTGAATTTTGAGTGAAGCAAGAATGCGTTGAGAAAATTGTTCTTATATGCAACAATGTTGATATGAGACAATGAAGCAGAGAAAGTAGAGGCAACTTGGATCACCCAATGTAGCATCAATCTTAGGCAGGATAAGCAAAATAGGCAAGGATCAGAGGACTGCAGTTTCACCAATCTGAAGGTCTGAACTTCATCGTGTCCAAGAAAAATTGCAGCAATACAACAAGGTTGCTTGCAAATTTTAACCTTTTTCATGTAAATAGTCCAGCCTTGAGTAGTTCTAATGAGGTGCCGGATATCACAATTGGCTAAACAAGAAGTAGTTGCCAAGTTTAGGGCACCAGAATAGCACAAATACTTTTCCCAAATGCAAACTTTAGTGAGGTATTGAAAAGAACCCCGAAAATCCCTGATAATCTGTTCTGGGATGCTCATGAGACCTTTACGAAGGGCCAAATTCCTCTTGTTCCAAAATGAGATTTATTGAAGGGTCAAGACTTTGACCCCTCAAGTTTGTCTTTATTTTGGTTTTGGTCTCTTAAATTTTAAATCATAGGTTTTTATCCTTTAAGTTTCTTTTTATTTAAAACATTAATTGCTATAATTCAATAAAAATCTTGACCATTTTACCTTTGAGAAATCAAAACCAAAACGAGGGCGAACTTGAGGAACTAAAGATTACATTGACCCTTTATTAAAATAATAATACCTTTTAGCATTGTGAGGTTCCCATTAAGAAAAAGCTGTTGCAAGGTATGGGAAAGCCAAGTATGAAGACCTTGGGCAGAAATAGTAGAAGAACGAAGAGACAGAGCCCCAAACCAAATAGCCTTTGCATATGGGCAAGCAAAGAAGAGACGGTCAATAGTTTCTTTTGCTTGGCAATTGAAAAGTCAGTTAATCTGGACATTTAAATGATGATGCCTCAAAATCTTTCCAACGGACATAGCAGAGTTAATTAGTTTCCAGATAAATAAAAGATGTTTATGAGGCAATTGAAGTTTTCATAGAAAAACCTGTTGGAATATTTTTAAAATGAAGAGATACATTTTTGAAAAGTCATGTTCTTATATAAATTTATTAAATTAATAAATTTATGTGAGGGGTTATGTCTTCATATAAATTAATAAATTTATTTGAAGGTTATGTTCTCATATAAATTAATATATTTAATTATATGAAGGGTTATGTAGGAAGTTAAAACACTAAAAGACCCTACATATTAAATGTATTATATTTATTTAAATTATATTGGTTCACATTGTTGTGACTTTTTATTTAATAAAGTATTATTTTAAAAGGCATCTCTTTAAGACATTATTCCATGGTCTATATAAACCCCTCACCTTCACTTTATTTGGATAACACAAACACAACGCAAACATTAAGATCAAATTCGTTGCCTTTGTCTTTGAGTACACGCAGAGATAGAATCAAATTATTATTTTGTAAAAGCCATTGTTGTCTTCACTTGAATCTTGGAAGTGCAATCCATATTCAAGAGCCTTCATTGTATTCTAAAAGAAATTTGCTAGGCATCCCAACTTGCACCCTATAAGACAGGCATAGGTAGGGACAAATTTAGCCTAGAGGAAACTGCTGCTCACACCTTGAAAACATCATGCACCACTTTCTTATTCATTTCCTTTTCTTGTACTCTTCAGAGAACCATTCCCGCCAACAAAACCCAGAGTTGAGGTAAAGAAACATGTCTATTCGTAGCATTTTGAGTTAAAAGAGCGTAGCTTTGCTTCACACTATATTGCCCAGAGATATCACCTTCCTAATGAAGCTTATTTGGGCCATTACAAATTGAGATAGGGGTTTTAAGAATGTATTTAGCTACCTCTATAAAGTAAATTGCTTTAACTAGAGGCAAGGTGAGAGCCAATAGTTGGGATCCTTAGAGAAAAGATCTGAAACCTTTCTAACATGAAAATTTGCAGCCATAGACGGATTATTCATAGGCCACCAGAGATTATGATCTATAGGAATAGAATTTCTAGAGGCTACCTGCCAGTGAAGGTGTTGAAAAATGAGGCTTGAAGATTCTAAAATCCCTTTCCAAAACTAGGAGGCATTGTAAGGATTTTTTAGTTTACAGCCCATAGAAGTATCCAAGTATTTGATCCTCATAGTATTTGCAAGAGAATAAGGTTCAGCTGATAGAATTCTTTTGTTTGGCCAATAAAGCTAGATTCATATAGTGAGTACATCTAAGGCCTAAACCACCATTCTTTAGAGAAGTAAAAATTAAGTCCTTCTTAACTAAGTGCATTCTGCGCTTTTGGTCATCATAACCCCAGAAATAGTTAGCTAACTTAGAATCAATGATGTTACAAAGCTTTTTGGAAGCTTTATACATGAGAGCAAATGAATGTTAGAAGCTGAAAGCACATATTTAATGAGATTTAATCTAGAAGCTTGAGAAAGGAGTTTTGATTCCCAAGAAGCGGTCCTCCTATCTATAGCATCGAGAACTTGCTTGTAGATAAGAGACTTGTCTTTTCCAGAATCAATCCAAGTACCAAGGTATTTTCCAAAGCAATAAGAAAAACGAATCTAAACTTTCTGCATAATTCATCCTTAAGATCATCATGTGTAACGTCCTGAATTTTGGGTCTAAAGGTGTAGAAAATAGCTTAAAATGGGCAGGCTACCAGACTCCTTGTGGCAAGAGTCCCGAAAATTCCCTGAAAGGATAGAAAGATTTTCAGGGACCAAGTTGCAAAGTGAAGGTCTTGTGAGACTACGCAATGAGAAAGATAAAGACTCTGATGAAGTCTCAAGGATTCAAGTGAGAGAATTGGAGATGATTAAGGGCCAAAGGTTGTGTTGGAAACCTCAGTGAGACGACTTCTAAGGCTAAACTTGAGCAAGGATCTAAACGCAAATTTGAAAAGTTATGGGTTGGAAATTGAGCAGTGATGAAAATGAGTCTGAATATTTTAGAAAAATTTTAAAAAAATATGAATGAAGTCCAGAGGCCTTAAAGGCTAAAAATGATGAGAATATCCCTGGAAGGAATTTGTGGAATTCCCA